TTATATATATTAGATCAGAAACACATCATTAAAAGGCGGAATGCTTTGGTGTTTTCAAAACAAAGCAAACGTTGCCACCGACGGAAAAGAAATACGGCCAAAATTTGGGAGCCACGTAAGAGAATTATATATAATAGATAGAACACACAAAAATAGTTTTATTTATATACACAGTGATGCCAACTTGCTCCGGACAGCGTATAAATATTTTCAAGTGGTAGTTTATTAATTTTGATTCTTGATAAATTCAATTTAGATTTTTATCCACCACTATTTTAAATAATTCGAAGGTATATATAATTCACCACTTTTCTCAAATATGTCATATTAAGCCTTTCAAAATACCGGATATATGTGTCTAATTTTGCAAATTTAGATTAAAGTCATTTACCGTTTGGACAGACGGGCAAGGCAAGAATATGTTAAACAGCACGAAGAGGCGACACCACCCTTCCCATTATACCTAAAAAAATGGCGAAACATTGCTGCAGAAAACCACCCAAGTAATGGAAAGCAAAAAAAAACGATTAAGGACTGCTTTAACTAAGAACTCCTTAATTCTCGTAAAGTATGTTCTATAAGCGTTTTTAATTATAATATAAATTGTATGTGGCGTACTCGTATAAATTTTGTATTTCTTGTACATATTACATTTATGCCTTCTCTTTTTCTTTCCTTTTTGGCACTCTTCACTTTAACCGAATTTTTTCTGTTGTCCGAGCTAGTCGTGGCACGGATAATCGGGACTCTACAGTATTTGGCTGCTCTGGTATTATTAACTGAGAAGTGAATTTATGAATTTATATTTTGCGTGACTGCCGTGGTTCATAAAACTTGAAAGCTTCTAATTTGAATTTACAATCAAGAAACCAGCAATATTTAAAGATTAATTAACATTATTACATGCTGTCTTTCACTTTATGTACCATTTTCCGCATCATTGCTATGAAAAAATAGAAATTGAGTAGATATTTATTACGAATGGAAAGTGTCATTTTCAGATTTTTATTGACACATTATTACCCAGTCATCTTTTTTAGGCAGGTGGTATTTTTATTGAAAAGGTGAATAGCGTCATCAGCATAGTTTTACTGTCCAATCTAGACTACATGCATTCAGAATTAAATATTCATGACACACTTTTGACATTGATTTGAATTTCGATACTAAGTCAATTCACAACACGGCAATTCCATCTGAAATAGTGTCACAAGTGGATGGTTGACTGAATGTAAACAATAACAAGCTTCCTTGAACCGGAAGAAATTTAGGAAATTTCCGGTGTATCCCTCCGCTTGTTTTATGCTTATGAAGTGATGTGTGAACAGGCTTTATAATCAAGGAAAATTTATTGCGATTTGAGTTTAAATTTGCACGTAATTTCACCATCCATAAAAATTTTCAGCAATTTATAAATTCTGAGAGGTCGTCAGTCTAAAACAAATTTAAGAAAATTAATTTCACAACATAATTAAAGCGTAAGGTTAGTCATCTTTTGAGTGTTATCCCTTATTTGGATAGATTTGTATAAAATAGAGCCGTTTTTATTTTTTATTTTTACATCCATTATTAAACAGCAGACCCAATTTTGGGTTTGCGACTACTAATGTCAACTCCGTAGCCTTGTAATTTTAAACCAATCCAGAAGACAAGGAAACCCCTGGATCAGTACCCCCAGAGGTATTGATTTGTTATGGGAACATGGAGGAGTTCGCGTCTCGGCAGATTAACGACCAAAGACATTTACTACGTCTTTGGCTGGCGGGGATCAAACCCACGAGCTCTTGAACATGGGTCCAGTACCCTACCAACCAGGTAAATAGAGCCGTTTGTTATTTTTTGGGCAGCATAGTAAGCTTGCGTAGTCTTCCGAATTCATTTGTTTTTTGTTCCGTTGATAAGTTAAATTGAAAGAACGCGATATATTGAAAACATTACAAGCATAATAACATTAGATGGTGAACTTTTTCAAACTAAGGCGAAAAAGTCAATCGGAAGCAATAACCCGGAAGTCTTACAACGTATTTTAACCCCTAGCGCCATCTGTGCTGATCTTTACGCAGTCAACCATCCGTAGATGATAACATAAATGACGCAACTTAATTATAAGACATAAATATGTTTACATAAGTAAACAATTAACTGTGTGTTCTTTTTAGTTTGCTTGTCATTGCTGAAAATATGATTGATAATCACGTCAAATCAGCCGAATCTATGCCCGTTGTTTACCTCCAGTTAAGTCATGGGATCACGTCTTAAAAGTGCGATGTCGTCATAAAAGTGAGTGGTAGCAATCCACGCTCGTGAGACAATGTTTTCCCCACAGAAGAAGCCAGTTACTACTCAACTCTCCACCTACTTGTAAAATAATTTATGCAAGATGCTCAGTAGCTGCAGAAATTGGTCAATGACGCTGAATATCGACGTTTAAAAGGCCTGCATGCTTTCCCACTGACATTCAAAAAAATACGATTCTGCAATAGATGAATCGGTTAGTGGCGCTTCGCGTCGAACACCGAGATTTCACCCATTCCCAGCTTCTCCTTCCTTTTGTTTGAAAAAGTAACTATTTTATAAGATCCCTCCGGACTCATCTTCCGGATGTTTCACTCGGATGTTACATTTTTTTCGTCTCATCGTTTGTAATTTAGCTCATATGTCAAAGTTCTTAAAATAAAAGCACTTTTCTGGTGGAGCTTTGTATTTTAACATCTGCCTCTGCGCAAATAATTCTGTTTTCGATTTATTTATTTATTGATGTTTTCGGGTAAAGGAAACCTATCCCCGTCCAACAGATAAATTTAGCTAAAATGTCAGCATAAATTACTTTTTTTAAGAGTGAACATTTCTTACGCGTTTTAAGCATTGAAATTCGAAATTCAATCTGTATTTATTTTATTATAATTTTAAATTACAATATTTTGTATTAAAAAAAAGCAGATCCTAACTTCTGAAATTTTTCGTGAAAGATTTTCCCCAAATAATTTATTAATATGTGTTTTGTTTTGTAGGTGTCATTCCTGCATTTATCTCCATTTTTATTTATTTTAGTATTATTATTATAAATTTTCTATCCACAGGGGTTTTAACATCTCAAGAATACAAATTTTAAACTAAGAGTATTTATAATGCAATATAAGATTGCTAATGCTTCTTTTTATTGTTATGGCTGTTTGTATCCATGAAAAGGGAAGGAAAAAAAACTAGTAGTATAATAATTTAATTTCTATCTTGCTTTCACAAGAAATAAATATCTCTGGTCACCAAGACTTATTAATTACTATTTTCCAAAGAAGGAAACAATCTGATATTTTCTTTTTATGTTTTAATATGCCTTGGTAGCCTAGTTATGAAATAGTTTAACTGTCACTTTTTTCTTTTTCCGAGGCACAATCAGCTCTGAAATTAGTAAATCAGGAATTTAAAAATATGTTTTTTATTGAGAATAGATTGCTGCTTATGGAGAATAGATTGCTTGCTAGGTATTATCGGGCCAAGCTGCCAACTTATACAGCCGTCTAGAAATAATTTTCTTAGTGGTAGCAACATTGGCGTTTTGGCTTATCAAATCGTGAAGTTAAAAGTTTCAAAAAAAAATTTTAAACTACCATGACGAATCAATAATTTTAAAAAGTATATGTAAATAAATTATGCTTTCGGAAATTGCAATGATTTCGTTTCTAATATATTCTTCCGAACTTAATTGTTGTTTTACTAGCACTTTGAAAAATCTTTTTCAACGATCGTACATGTAGGCAGGTATGAGAATATAATAAATTCCACACTCTACCAAATTACACTGAACAAGTGTTCTTTTTAGTTTTATGTGCAATGTGTATATTTTTATACAATTTAGTTCAAAAAGTTTGAATAAAACAACCCAGGAATGTAATATTTTACTATATTTTTATTTGTTTTGAGCATAAATTAAAGTAGAAACAACTGCTTCCGATACAACAAGAAATGAAAACTACATCTAAAATTAGATGGTAAACAAAATTTTAAGAAATTAGATTAAAGAATTAAGAAATTAATCATTTATTCAGTTTTCAAAGCAAACAATTATGAACTTCTTTATTTGTAATCTATACTAACAATGACCAAGTCTCCGATAATTAGCTAATTTCCAAAGACTAAATTGGATCAAAAGAATCACTATCATTAGTACTACCTTATTGTACATTCTATTTTTTTTCGGTACTAGTAACCATTTTATCTACCCTTTAAATTATTGAATATAGTATTTACAAACAAAAGAATTTAGTACTTAAATTGTATTTTTTTATACCAAGTCATTACATACTTTCATTTTTTTCATGGCACAAAAGTGACTATTTACTGCTTCGTTCTAAACCCTCTGAATGCATACAATATTAATCTACGTGGCAATCTATTTATTAATAATCTACGTGGCTATAAGCGATGGCATTGCTCAGACAGTATTGCTTTATTAAAGGTCGAAATGACTGAGTAATTTTTAATTTTTCCAACAAAAGAATTTTTTTCAAAAGTAAATGAAGTAATATGAAATAAAATTAGACTATACGAATGTAAAAAATGATTTATTTTAATTCCTTTACACATTGGTTATTTAACAAATTTGCATCACAGTGTTTTAATGTAAAATGATTGATTAACAAATTAATAAATCTAGGTTTATTAATTTGTTATAGAGTTTAGTGTATAATATTTGTAATAGAGTTTTTAGTGGATGAACTAGATAAATGACATTTTCAGAATGACTAAAATCAGTTCAAGAAGAAATTAAATGGTATCTGAACTTTTTCGTTATAGATTTATTGAAAGGAGATGCTCATGATTCTTGGCTTTATTTTATTTATAACTTCCTAATTTGAAAAAAAAATTCAAACAAGCATATAAGTGAAAGCAAAAATAATTCTGTTGCATTAAACATACCCAAATTGATGCGACCAGTTTATATTATTTACTCTGATTAATAATTACCCTTAAATATTTCACCTACCTATTTCATCCACTAAGTTCTTCAAATGTTTTTAACCCTTGGAGTATTATGTTAAAGTCAATTGAATGACAGCTTGATATTTCGTACTTTTGATAACAAACACATAGAACTTAAAAAAAATTTTGAGAATAGTCTTATCATATCTGTCCAGAAAATTCCTTTGTAAAGCTCAACTAGTTTGTTTCAATCGATTGTGAGAAGGCAAAGACGTCGTGCGAAACGAAATAAGTATGCCATAGATCGAAAAATGCCTGTAAATATTTTCAGATGGACAACAAACGCTGTAAATTTATGAGTAAACGTTAAACTTCTCGTGCTATAAAGATGTGTGTCATAAAGATCTAATGGCAGTTACTATTACTGAAACTATAACTACTACTGAACTATCACTATAACTATTACAGATACTTTTCTTATAAAATGTGATTGTTTTGGATACTGTTTTCTTATTGAGTTTTTGTGCTAATTTAAAAGCTAGCTGTATTGTAAAAAATAAGCTTTGCTTTTTCTTCTAAACACTCTTTTTCAGTATAATATGAATTATCTATCTTTGGGTCAACTTTCTAGCCTTAACAAATTCTTATGAATTCTAATTCTTAACAGAACATATTCTTTTAAGTTTAATATGATCTCATCTTAGGTATTTTAGTAGTACTCCAAGCGGTAAATTCGCATTTAAAAAACAATAATTCTTTAAATGTTTACAGACATTGATTTATCTTTATTATTTGTTAGTTTTTTTCTTAATCTGTTGTGTTGAGAGCATGTCTTAAGATTCTCGTCATATTGTCGTTGAACACAAATGAAGATAAACGTCATTTAAATCATGAAAACAATCACATGTATGGACTTAAGCCACAAGGTCTGTTAAATTCATTTCCAAACTCATGGATCCATTTATTGGCAACTGAAATTACAAAAGAAAATTAGATAAATAAAACAGTTTTGTTAAAAAAGAATTACATGGACATAAGTATTTTTCAATATTTAAATGACAATAAATTAATGTTGTGCTAGTTACGAGAATTCTGTTCCCAATTCATAGAAACTTATTGATATTTCTTGTCTTAATGATTGATTTTTCTTTTTCATGTCAATTAATTTAATTTTTTTAAAAATAATTCATTGAAGATTAGATATGGTAGAATGTTTAAGAAAATTTTTAAAAAATATATTGCTTTCTTTACTTTGCTACAACTGTTATCAGCATTGAAAATGTACACTTCCTAAAATGTTACAACTGTTATCAGCATTGAAAATGTACACTTCCTAAAATGTTACAACTGGTATCAGCATTGAAAGTTTACACTTCCTGAAATGTTACATCTGTTATCAGCATTGAAAATTTACACTTCCTGAAATGTTACAACTGTTATCAGCATTGAAAATTTACTCTTCCTAAACTGGATTTGGACTTGCCTAGTGGAATTTAATGACAAAAAATGTCACAAACTCTTCCAAAAATATTTTGCTGCATCTGAAACCAATAATTCTGAAAACAGTTGAAACACTTCTATTTTCTACTATTGCAAGAAAAAACTCTTGACGGAACCATCAAGATATTTTGATGGTTAATTTCTTGGTGGTCTAACACTATTTAATGCTAAATAACATCCGACAATTCCAATCATGTGGTAATGGATTTTGATGGGCCAACAAACTTCCATCATTTCATGTTAGAAGATGATATTTTACTATATGATGGACAACCAAAATGTTATGGTAGAACATATTCCGTAATCTCATGGGGAAAAATGTTAGTTAAGTACTAGGATGGTCAACCAACAAGTTATGTTTGAAATTGTTGGATCAACAACAAGTAGTACAATAATGGGTTAGTACAATGATAGATATTAATTGTAGGTAAAATTAATTGAAAATTCATTTAACTGATACTACCAGTAAAAGTCTATAATTTTTTTTAGTAATAGGGGAAAACAGTAAACTGAGGATGTGTGACGATAATGAAAAGCACTCTCTTCTCTTACTTGCTAATACAACCCAACGCCTCCTATAACTGAAAGCCTCCACACGATTTTTTTATGGGTAGTCCGATCGGACCACTATGAAGGATATCCACTATCCGAACGAGTCATTAAATACGTAATCTAGTTATAATAAGAAAGTGGTAGCAAATATATAAGTAAAAATTTTTTTTATTTATGAATATTATTGGTTTGCCTTATTCACTTGTCAACCACTACAGATTCAATTCTCAAAAATATATAATAATTTTCTCTCAATTACTTTTATAAAAGGTTTTGTGTTCATGCGCACAACTAGTTCACTCTTTAAATAGTCTGCGCTGACTACTATAAAAGACCGTGTGGAGGATATTTGATGTAGGAGGTGATGATACACCTCGTAAAGGTAAGAGAATGTTATTGACTCAACATAAATCTGGATAAATTTTAATACCTGGGTGTTGGGCTGTCTTGATGTACCCTACAAAAAGTATGATGGAGAATTATAATGGTAACCAGTATTTTATGTCGGATCATAGTGGATTTTTTTTTTGTTGGTCCTTTATAAAAAATACATCATATTATGATGGGTACGCTATGTTAGCCCAATATGAAAGTGTGCAAATTCTTAACTTTGGATGTTGGGAATATTTGATGGTTCCATCAAGCTGTATAGCAAATTTGAACATGCTAAGCTAATTGTCTTTGATGGAAATTCAAGATGGTAACCATCACATTTATGTTGGTCCATCAATGGAAAACCATATTGATTTTTTGTCTTGCGAAAGTCTAGAAATCTTTTTTATATGCATATATTGCATATAAAAAATAAATATATAAAAATATCTTTACTCATATTTAATTTTAAATCTTAGTTTAATATCAAAATTTTATCAATATAAGAGGCAGTATTTAAAATCAATTATAAAGTTGTGCATCATATTTAATAATAAATTGAAATTTCTATTACTGGAATAACTATAGGAATAATTTATAGTTTTAAATTATAAATAGTGAATGAAAAATTCTTTACCCCATTTGGATCCGGCTAATACTGGACATGCAGCATGTCTCGTATTTTCATCAACAGAGCCATCTTTGTACACGTTATACCAAAACGCTGCAGATCCCTGTAATAAGTATAAAAAGTCTTTCTTAAACTATTTAGGTATATTTAACCAAAAGTATCAATTTTTATCAAAAAAGGTTTAAAAAAATAAAAGGGTATAAAACGTTTCAGCTTCTGGCCACTCACAATCGATCTTTCATATAAGTTTTGAAAATTTAAATTAACACTGGAAGAATTTTTAAAAACATCCAAGAACTTAAGAATTCCAGAGTACCTACCGGGATTTGTAAATTGTACCGGGATTCTAAGGACTTAAGAATTCCAGAGTACCTACCGGGACTTGTATCCGCTCTCTTAACATTCGAAAAGTTTTAGCTATAGCTAAAAAAGTGGACTCTAGTTCTTGTAAAGTGGCAATGTATGCAAAATGAGAATTCGTACAGCGCCACCTGGTATATTAGTCGAATTCTCATGGACATCAATGCTGAGAAGAAAGAAAAACACTTAAAAGTTTCTTTGTCAATAATTTCTTATAGTGTAACGTAACGATACGAACTTAGAAAGAAACATAACTAGTTTTTACAGTATTCAGCATTGATTAGCAAACGAATGTGCATTTTAAGCTCCAAAATGCTTATACGTACCAATCAGAGATGTTCCACAATTTTTAAATTCCAATGTTTCCTTTATCTCGGACCGTTTAAAAAATACAAACAATTACTTCATAGCTTTCCACCAGTTTGCTACACTTAGTTTTATCTTGTAAAGCGCAATCATTTTACAATACCTGGACACTTCTTTTATAATCATGGCTGTAGCGTTTTGTAATTCTCAAGATCTGTACGGGCTTTAGTATGCATTTTATATATTAGGTATATACTGTTACGTTTTTTAACACGGTGAATACCAGGCAAATTTTACATGGCATGCCCGTCCCGCCAAACAATAACTAACTACAAACTAAATTTGCCAACATGAGACAGATTATGGCACTTTTTCAGAAGGTACAGCATTACATATATGAATAACGTGGTGAATTATATAAGCTTACGAATTGCTTCGAAATACTGGTGGATAAAAATCTACTAAATTGAATTTATTAAACCAAGAATCACAATTGATAAACGATCACTTTAAAATATTTATTTGATGTCCGGAGCAAAGTTGGCATCGTTGTGCATGTAAATAAAACTATTCTTGTGTGTTCTATATTGCAATAATTTCTACAAGCCATTTTAATAATGATAATAATAGGGAAAAATTAAAAATTTACTTGAATTATGTGTTTCTAATAGTCTTGACTTCGCCGGTTACCGGAGACCCCCGCGGCACTACGAACGAACTCAGTGCCGGTCACCCCCATAGCATCCATCGTGTTAAATGTAACTAATAGAAAACTAAGCATACGCTAGCCCTTATTCTACATCGGTAAATTGCAGCGAATGAAAGTTATGAATAAACTTCCATATTTAAAGTATCAAGTTGGCATCTCTGTCTATATAAATAAAACTATTTTTGTGCATTCTATATTGCATTAATTTCTTCAAACAATTTAAGTAACGTTAATAATATTAAAACAATTAAAAGATTTAAACATTTACTCGAATTATGTGTTTCTAATAATCTTGGCTTCTCCGATTTATTTTCTTGGAGCATTTTATAAATGCAGAGAGAAAATTTAACTTACCTTTACTGGTTTCACTTCAACTCCAAGTGTGGGAAAAACTGTAGATCCTCCAGCTGGAACGTCACTTAACTATTAAAGGGGGAAAAAAACAATTCGTTTAAAATAAATAAAACTTATATTTTTTATAAGCACGTGGATATATACAATGGCATTTGAATCATATCATTCTAATGGATTAATTTATGTCTTAGTTTGTGGTTCCTCTTTATTTTTCTTGTTAACTATGCAAACTCAGTAATGGCTTCAAAGATTTTAATCGCTTTAGACCATTTTCGTTAGAAAAAATCGATATCTAAAAAAGAAATATGATACGTAAAATTGGAAGATCGCATACAATTGTGGTCCATCCTTAACACGTTGAATGCCACGCTAATTTTACATGGCTTTGCTCGTCTGGCCACACGGTAAATAACTACAAACTAAATTTGCAAATATTGACAGATTTTGCTAGTTTATAAGAGGTTTAGCATGATATATCTGAAAAAGTGGTGAATTATATATGCCAACGAGTTGTTTAAAAACAGTAAAGAATATCTACTAAATTGAATTGATTAAACCAAGAAGCACAATAATTAAGTAAATTTTGAATAGATTTTCTGCAATTCCATAAAGACTATAAATTTTATAGTTCTACACAGGGCTGAAAGCCCATATATATCATGACGGAAAAGAGTAAAAACTGGTAACAAATAAATTTTATTTTTTTAGATTTTTTGGGAGAATAATAAAAATCTATAACTACTAATTGTTTTCAATGGATACTGTTTTTATATTGAATTGCTTCTTCGCCGAGAAATAATTAATTACAGTGAGTTGTTTATTGTGCAGAATAGATTAACTCCTCCCGAATATTTTCTAATATTGAAATAGTTCTCCTACCAGTAACTTCTCTTTTCCGCCTCGCTTTCAGGCCGGGTTCTATATCATGTTATACGCTGTCAGCCAACTGTTTTTCGTGGCCTATGTGAAAGGTCAGTGTCAGCAAACGGTGGCAGACGCAGCCTAAACATAATTTCAGTATCAGCCACCGGTGGCAGTGTCAGCCACCGGTGGTTGAAGCGACCTAAATGTAATTTCAGTGTCAGCCACTGACGGCTGACGCGGCCTAAATGGAAAGTCCAGAGTCAGCCACTGACGCAGCGCCTCCTATAACTGAAAGCCTCCACACGGTTTTTTGTAGGTAGTCCGATCAGACCACTATGAAGGCAAACCAAGTAGAGAAAGAACCATTAAATATGAAATCTATTAAAAATTAGAAAGTGGTAGCAAATATATGTCTTAAAAGTAGTTTAATTTATGAATATAATTGGTTTGTTTTATTTACTTGTCAACCACTACAGATTCAATTCTCAAATATATATGATAAATTTCTCTCAATTACTTTTAAAATAAAAATTTGAGTTCATGCGCACAATTGGTTCGCTTTTTAAATAATCTGCACAGACTACTTATAAGAAACCGCGTGGAGGCTTTCGATGTAGGAGGTGATGACTGATGGCTGACGCGGCGCTCAACGTGTTAAGAGCTTCCACTAAAAGAGCAAAACAGATATATTGCAGTGGATTCCGTCCTATAGCGGTATCTCATTATATAAGCTCTCATACAAACTAGCCAAGGAAAAGGGTATACCGTATATCCTCCGACATTTGAGGTTTGCAGAAAAATATTTTTCAAGAGGTAGCCAACTACAGTAGAAATTTTTTAAATGAATGGAACTTCTACAAAATTTCTATCGAGATTTAAATGTGTTGCTAATTGCTTATCGGAATTTTTATATACCTTTTTAAAATTATTTATAGATGATGGGAAAATTTTTAAACTTGAATCTATTAAAACAGAGAAAAATATTTTCTGAAAATATGAAAATTCTATAAAGTGTACTATCCAGCAGAGCCCTTTTGAGGACGTTTGCTATAGATCTGTTGTATTAAAAATTTTGCCGTAAGAGATTTACAGCTGAGTTTAAAGCAAAGATCAGGAGGAAAGCTCTGGAGTCGAACTGTACCTGATTCCGCAAACACTTAATTTACAATTCAGTGGATTTTAACAACTCGATCTCGGTTTTTGGAGAACTTTCGGTCGGTAGCAGCTGCCCACACTTATAATACAAGCTTTTATTTCTTTTAAAATCTGTTACCTGAACTTAAAAAAAGCAAGAGTTATTCTTTTTATTTTATTTAAGAACATGCTACACGGGCGAATGGATCGCTAGATTGGAAAACCGTCTCCGAAGAAAGCGATACTTTTTTAAATGCGGTTTTTGATTTTGTATGTCACAATTCGTAAAATTATCTTTTTTACTACCTTTTTCAAAAAACATTAAGGTAGTATCAAGAATCGTAAGAATTCGTTATTTAAAAACTAGAGTTTCTGCTAGATAGCATTAAAGTTAGTTTTAGAATTTTAGCATTAAAGTTAATCATAAATATATCATAATTTGAATCATTAAATTTATTGCTGCAATCAACAACACAATACAATATGATAGATTTTCATTAAAACAAAACCTATTTAATTGAAGCTATGAAATATTGCTCTGATTAAGACCATAATAAAATATTTCATGCATCTCATTTCGTTATTATAAATATATTTTTCAATTTTAGGAACCATGCAAACTCTTATTTTCTATTTAATTGTGAACTGTTAAAATGTTTCAAAATTCCGAACTTACGTAAAATATCCATGTGGCCAATCGATTACCAAGTTCTGGGATGAAAGAAACTACTTCATCTGGCTGTGAAACAAAATAATTGAAAACACATAAAAAGATTGTTAAACTTTTCCATTAATCATAATGCTTTATTCCCTTGCATTTAAAAAAAAAAGCTAACAGAACCATATCATTTTAGATCCATAAACTATTACTAGCAGTTCCTTAAAAGCTCGTGACAACTTTTTTTCTCTTTCGAGAATTATTTTTTCGAGTAATACTGAAGTTATAACCAAATTACAGTCATGGGTAGATATGCTAACATTTAATTACACCATGATATTATATTATGAATTTTAATAATTGTCTTATTTATTTTTAGATAGAGGGGGGGGTAGCCCTAATCATCTAAAATTAAATTTAAAAATCTGTTTTATTCCTGTTTTTTATTCTAAAGTAATACAAAAAAAGCTTGGAAAAAAAAGTTGCACAGTGCTCAAAATAAGAAACGGAACACCCTTTTAAAAATATCGTTTATTTAAAATTCGATTTCTCAGGCGCTATTCGACCGATTCTACTCAAATTTTGTATTTTCGATTACTTATGAATTCTTTAAATGCAATTCTTTAGAATGACGTACAAAATTGTATGCCCTACGATTCAAAACTTTTTCGACTATCATTAAATAAAATTTAAGAAATAATAAATATTAACTAAACGTTATTTTTTGCATGAAATTATGTGGGCATATACGAATTTTATAGTTGTGTGCAAAAAATTTTCAATTAATTTAAAAATTTCTCAAGAAAATAGGGTGTAATACGGATAGATAAAAATTAACACTACGGATCCAAACTTTGGACTACTCTTTTAACCAAACTACTCGAACCATATTTTAAAGATTGCAGCTACCCCAATATTTTCGGGGTCAGAAATCAACTGAAAAAAGTGGCACGATTATTCAGAAAAATTCATCCTTTTGTTTGATTTCGTAACTTTAAATATCGTCAGCAATCATTACTTAGCATGTTTGAGGTTACTCCCTCGAACCATTAAGGTTTATTCTTAGAACGTATCCGATTGTTAGATCAGAAGGTATTTAGGGTAGTCATTTTTATTTTCGCAATGTACATTAGACATTACTTAACCGCATGGTTTATACTGTTAACTAAAATTTCATTTTACTAAGTCTGAGCTTTTTGTAGCTCTAGATCTAGTCACAGGTATTTAAATAGAAACAACCAAACTGCCTATTGATTATAATAATCAACCCCAAACTGTGTAATATTTAACGATGAATGGGAAAGGGGTCGCTTAGAGTCTCAGGTGCCCAGCTACAGCAAAATACTAGTACTGGTATTCAAATCATTAATAAATTATTGTGGGTGCAGGCCTAGTAGTGGGCCAAAAGAAAAATTGGGGTAGCATTTTTCAAAAAATAATCAGGATACTTCTTGGATCAATACGTATATGCCAGACCACTTTTAGAAAGAGCGAACAATGAAATAAAAATTGCAAGTAACATCCAACAAGCTATAGTTATCTTCTTGTCATTAACACGTTCACGCCGGGGTGACCCACCGGTGGGTCACGCTAGATTGTCTCATCTTGGCAGCGCACCGGAGTAAAAACTGGTAACAATAAATTTCATTTTTTAGTTTTTTTCCGGGAATAATAAAAATCCATAACTACCAATTGCTTTTAAAGGATGCAATTTTTATATTGAATTGCTTCTTCGGATTGATANCTGTTTTTTATTCTAAAGTAATAAAAAAAAAGCATGGAAAAAAAAGTTGCACAGTGCTCAAAATAAGAAACGGAGCACCCTTTCAAAAATATCGTTTATTTAAAATTCGATTTTTCAGGCGCTATTCGACCGATTCTACTCAAATTTTGTATTTTCGATTATTTATGAATTCTTTAAATGGAATTCTTTAAAATGACGTGCAAAATTGCATGCCCTACGATTCAAAACTTTTTCGACTATCATTAAATAAAATTTAAAAAACAATAAATATTAACTAAAAATTATTTTTAGCATGAAATTATGTGGGTATATACGAATTTTATAGTTGTGTGCAAAAAATTTTCAATTAATTTAAAAATTTCTCAAGAAAATAGGGTTTAATACGGATAGATAAAAATTAACACTACGGATCCAAACTTTGGACTACTCTTTTAACCAAACTACTCGGACCATATTTTAAAGAATGCGGCTACCCCTATATTTTCGGGGTCAGAAATCAACTGAATAAAGTGGCACGATTATTCAGAAAAATTCATTCTTTTGTTTGATTTTGTAACTTTAAATATCGTCAGCACTCATTACTTAGCATGTATGAGGTTACCCCCGTTTATTAGATCAGAAGGTATTTAGGGTAGACATTTTTATTTTCGCAATGTACATTAGTCATTACTTAACCACATGGTTTATACTGTTAACTAAAATTTCATTTTACTAAGTCTGAGCTTTTTGTAGCTCTAGATCTAGTCACGGGTATTTAAATAGAAACAACCAAACTACCTATTGATTATAATGATCAACCCCAAACTGATTTATATAACGATATGAATGTAAATAATTAACGATTATTATAAACTATTTAACGATGATAAATAATTAACGATACCCAAAATATTTAACGATGAAGGAGATAGGGGTCGCTTAGCGTTTCAGGTGCCCAGCTACAGCAAAATACTAGTACTGGTATTTAAATCATTCATAAATTACTGTGGGTGCAGGCCTAGTAGTGGGCCAAAAGAAAAATTGGGATAGCATTTTTCAAAAAATAATCAGGATACTTCTTGGATCAATACGTATATGCCAGACCGCTTTTAGAAAGAGCGAACAATGAAATAAAAATTGCAAGTAACATCCAACAAGCTCTAGTTATCTTCTTGTCATTAACACGTTCACGCCGGGGTGACCCACCGGTGGGTCACGCTAGATTGTCTCATCTTGGCAGCGCACCGGAGTAAAAACTGGTAACAATAAATTTCATTTTTTAGTTTTTTTTCTGGGAATAATAAAAGTCCATAACTACCAATTGTTTTTAGCGGATGCAACTTTTATATCGAATTGCTTCTTCGTCGTGATAATTTCCTTACGGTGAATTGTTATTCTTGAGAACTGAATAACTCCTCCCGAATATTATCTAATATTGAAATAGTTCTTCTACCAGTATTTTCTCTTTTCCCGTACCAGTATTTTCACTTTTCCCGGCGTGAACGTGTTCACCCGTTTTGTCCCGAATTTATAAATTGAAATGATACAAAAAGTGGTGTTATGGAAAAAGTGGTATATTATAATATCGAAATTAATTGGTTTTTTTACTGTTAAGGCATTCAAAAAGTCTTAGATAGATCAAAAAGTACTTTCGTTTGTTCGTTGTAGTCGAACTGGGCGTCTGAGGCCTTACGGTCCTTTTCCCTTTCATCTTGAAGTTAAACTTAGAGACATACATGACAAAATTAAAGTTTGGGGAGCAAATGGAGTTCTTGAGAAAAGAAAAATGGCACTTTGCCATTATTAGGCAATGACAAAATTATAAGTAATGAAAATGTACATGAAAAAGGTAAAATTAAAGTACAATGGGAAAATAAACACTACAGTTTGGAAATACATACAAAAGGGGGGCGAGTTAAAGGATTGTGAGGATCTGTGTATATGTGTAAGTAAATGTGGCTCTGTTAAGTAGAGACCCGGCCGTCAGTGAGTGTTTGTGTTGTTAAATGTTAGTATGATATCAGAAGTGTGCAATGGGTCGAATTTTTGCATCCTCTTTGAGATTGATGCAGTCGAAAATATCATTAAAATTTGCGGTATTGCAGGAGGCGGCTTTAATAAAGAAGTTTCTATTTAATTTGTTGAAATGATGGTCAAAGCGGTCAATATTAAGATCTCTATGAATGGCATTGTTGCGGATAAACCATCTGGCTCCCGTGAGTTTTTTCAAGATGTTGTTTTGGAGTACGATAAGTTTTTTGAGGTCTTTTTCGGAGGCGTTACACCAGGCAGCTGAGGCGTACGTCATGATAGGACGTATCATCGAGGTATACAGGAGCTTTTTCAGTTTTAAACTAAGATGTCGGTTATGAAAAAGTGTTTGAAGTTTGTTGGTTGCTGCATATACTTTATTTTAAATGTTATTTACATGGTCAGACCAGGTCAGTTTTTTATTAATGGTTAAGCCTAAATATATAGCTTTATCAACAATGGGTATAGTGTTGTTGAAGAGAACTAGTTGGTATTTATGGGTTGGTTGGTAGGACTTTCTATTCTTTTGTATTATTAAAAGTTGCGATTTACTAGCATTTAGTTTGAACTTCCAATTTAGGCACCAGTCTTCCACATCATATAACTTGATCAAAAAGTACTTGCTCCTTATAATTCTAGATCTAATCAGAAATAATTAAATCATTGTGGTATCTGATAAACTTTTAATTCTCCCAGATAAATGAAAATGCTGTAAAAAGTTTCCCACCACAATGAATATTTTTGAAAAAAGGAACTGTCATAAATATATGACACTGGGCGTTAACCGGTTAAGTGAATACACTTAGAAAAAATTTACTTTAACTGGGGTCCTAAAACCTCTTACTTAGCTTCTGATGTCTCTAAAAGCCTCTTCACTTTACAAATGTCCGTTGTGCACTTATTCTCTACTTGCTGTTTTCAAACATTCAATTATCTTCAAAATGTTTCATTAATTTTCATTTGCTTTCTTTTTCCTTGAAAATTTCTGAACATTTGAAACTTTCATGCAAAGTATATTTACAAAATTCTTATTTTGTAAATATACTTTGCATGAAAGTTTCATGCAAAACATATTTACAAAATAAGAATTATACTTCCTTTGAATTTTTTCTCATTTAATTGAATGAGATTAAACGTGAATCACTAGGGCTCTCCGTACTGCAATGTAAGATATGTAAATAAGTGCAAGCACAAAATTCTACTTTTGTATATAAAACGGTTATAACTTCAAAACTATAAGTCTTATAGTCTTGGGATTGATTTCATTCAATTCGTCAAATTTTACATTCTTGAAGTAAAAACAATTTTAACTTTTGAATTATTCGTTCTACCTACTTCTGTTATTTATTCACTTCAGCATAAAAAAAATACGTTAGAAACAATATTTTGATAATTATTAATATTGAGGTTGTTGCGAAATTAGGTAGGTATTTTATTTACGTCGCACTAGAGCTACACAATGGGCTACTGGCGACGGTCACAACTAAGGTTGATCTAAAGACAAGCCATCACAAACTTGATCCTCTGCAGAGGGGGTTGCTCCTTCGTTTTGGTAGCCCAACGACCAGCCTGCGAAGTCAAACGGTTTATAGTAGAAAAGTTTAACGAGAAACGATAGCAAGCAACCTCGGTCCAAAACAATGTGGTCACCCACCTGACCGCAGCCAGTGATGCTTGTTCAACTGGGAGCCCTGTTTTTACCATCAATTCACTGCGGGAGCAAAACATTTTTAATCATTTGCGAATTAAATATTGAATTATTGAAAAAAATTAATAAAGAATAAACTATATAATACGAAACTAGAAAAACTTCTAACTCTTGTGATAAGTACTTTGAGAGCTCTGCCTATCGAATATCGTCACGNGAGATGCCAACTTGCTCCGTACAGCAAATATATATTTTAAAGTGGTAGTTTATCAATTGTGATTCTTGGTTTAATAAATTGAATTCAATAGATTTTTATCCACCACTATTTCTAAATCATTCGTAGGCTTATATAATTCACCAGTTTAAAGATATAATATCATGCTATACCTTTTAAAAATCAAGTAAAAATAGTCAGATGTTTGCAAAATTTACTTTGTAATTATTTACCGTTTTTTTAATTATTTTGGCGTGTCCGGAGCAGTTGGCATCTCTGAGCTCTGCCTATCGAATATCGTCACGAACATTCCGGACGACCCAATAATTTAATATTTTCCTCTATTTTATCATATTTTAAATAATATTGACCAATAAATTTATACTTACATGAGCAAAATCGAAATGTGGTTCATAATGACCTCCAATACCGTAATTTATTACGTGTAAAGCTTCTGCAAACTCAGTGTCTAATCCTGTAATGTCTTCTATTCTTTGGTTGATTTTTGGAATATCCATTGATTGATAGTCTTGCAACCAAGTGCTAAAAAGGTATTTTTAAGAAAGAGTAATAATTAAGCGTTTTAGATAGAAGCGCGTATATATTTTTGTAACACATCACCATTCTCTTTGACATTTTAAAGTCTTGCGAAATATTTTCCCTGAGGTAGCACACGTTTTTATGAAACCTTTTTCAAAGCATGTGAGCTTCAACATTTCCTTATATCAAAAACTCCGACTCAGAGAAAAGGCTATTGCGGATTCTCCGTAGTTTCTGATTGTTTTTTTTTCCCTTTTTTTTCTGTGTGAAACAAACAGATATTTTTAAGAACTTTTATTATAGCTATAGCTAGAGCCCCTGAATTAGACAGGCCGACTTATCATTTATTTTTGGAGCAAAGAGCTAACATAAGCACAGCGAATAAACATTTTCAAGTGGTAGTTTATTAATTGTAATTCTTGGTTTAATAAGTTCGATTTAGTAGATTATAATCCACCACTATTTCTAAGCAATGCGCAGGCTTATATAATTCACCACTTTGTAGTACTTGCAACATATGGGATAGGGGCCGCTAAGTGGCCCAGGTGCCCAATTTTTGTAAATAAAGTAAAGTAAGTACTTGCAACATGCTTTACATTTTTAAAAGCAAGCAAATATTGTCAACTATTTGCAAAATTTACTTTGTAATTATTTCCCGTTTTTTAAATTATTTTGGCGTGTCCGGAGCAGTTGGCATCTCTGTATTAACATAACTAATACCAACATAACGTTAACTTGCGAACTTGTTTGCTCTAATATAGGTCAGCTGTGATAGTATAGGAGCTATAGCTTTTGTTATCTAATTTATATGATTTTAAATGTATCTGTTTAAATTGTGTTTAGTGGTGGACAAAATTCTATTTATTGTAGTTTATTAAAATATAAATACAATATCTTTGTTACCACCAAGAAAAACTTTTCTGAAACTACGGAGAATCCGTAATAGTTGGAGTCTATGCAAAGGCGGAGATGCCAACTTGCTCTGGACAGCAAATATATATTTTAAAGTGGTAGTTTATCAATTCCGATTCTTGGTTTAATAAATTCAATTTAGTACATTTTTATCCACCAACATTTCAAAATAATTCGTAGGCTTATAATATTTACCTCTTTATGGAACTTACGCCATGCTATGCCTTATAATAATCAAGCAGAAATAGTCAAATATTTGCAAAATTTACCTTGTAGTTATTTACCGTTTTTTTAATTATTTTGGCGTGTCCGGAGCAGTTGGCATCTCTGGAGACGTCGACTGTAAATAAATTTTCCCAAGTTTCGGAACACAGAGGTGGAGTTCCTATTGTGTAAAATTGTGTACTGGTAAAATTAATTCTTGTTTCGTATTTAATACCACTCTTAAAAATATTTTCTAAAAGTATATGAAATATATTTACATTAAAATTTAAGGTTGCTCTTTTCAATCGACTTTTTTTCTACTTTTCCCCTCACACGGCAGGGATACCAACTGCTCCGGACACACCAAAATAATTAAAAAAACGGTAAATAACTACAAAGTAAATTTTGCAAATATTTCACTATTTTTGTTTGCTTTTTAAAAAATATATTATGTTATAAGTTCAAATAAGTGGTGAATTTTATAATCTTACGAATTATTTAAAAATAGTGGTGAATAAAATTCTACTAAATTGAATTTATTAAACCAAGAATCACAATTAATAAACTACCACTTTCAAATACATATTTGCTTTCCGGAGCAAGTTGGAATCTCCGCACTCAGTCGTACTTATACAGAAGCATTTTAATGAATTCTTAAATCAATTATTTTTAGTGTTTGTTGATATTGATTGTATATTTATTACTCGACTGCGATTTTTCTTAAACTTTATGATGAAAGCTAATATTAGAAAAATTTGGAAGTTATGGCTATAAATTAAGCACTTTGATTAAAATTCTGCCACACATATCCTTCTTCAAAGATGCGGATTTTCTTTTTATTATGTAGGGAAATTCATTTTTTATCTATAAAATATTCGAAAATTTTATGCTTTGATGTTTCATTCTTATTAATTTAGTTAGATTGGTTAAAAAGTATTTCTAATTCACTAATAATCAAATCAAACATATATTCTAAAGAACCTATTAGCCTATTTTCATTATCGCTTAAACTTCTGTGCTAAATACTATTAATTAATCACTCATCGTGGTAAACTTTAAGTTTAACCCGTTTTGTCCCGAATTTATAAATTGAAATGATACAAAAAGTGGTTTTATGGAAAAGTGGTGTAATATATTACGAAATTAATTGGTTTTTCTACTGTTAGGGCATTCAAAAAGTCTTTGATAGATCAAAAAGTCCTTGTTCCTTAGAATTCNTTGGAGCAAAGAGCTAACATAAGCACAGTGAATAAATATTTTCAAGTGGTAGTTTATTAATTGTAATTCTTGGTTTAATAAGTTCGATTTAGTAGATTTTAATCTACCACTATTTCTAAGCAATGCGTGGGCTTATATCATTCACCACTTTATAGTACTAAAAACATGCGTTACATTTTCAAAAGCAAGCAAATATTGTCAACTATTTGCAAAATTTACTTTGTAGTTATTTACCGTTTTTATAATTATTTTGGCGTGTCCGGAGCAGTTGGCATCTCTGTATAAACATAACTAATACCAACATAACGTTAACTTGCGAACTTTTTTGCTCCAATATTGCTTGATAGGTCAGCTGTGATAGTATAGGAGCCTTAGCTATAGCTTTTGTCATCTAATTTACATGATTTTAAATGTATCTGTTTTAATTGTGTTTAGTGGTGGACAAAATTCTATTAATTGTAATTTATTAAAATATAAATACAATGTCTTTGTTACCACCAAGAAAAACTTTTCTGAAACTACGGAGAATCCGTAATAGTTGGAGTCTATGCAAAGGCGGAGATGCCAATTTGCTCCGGACAGCAAATAAATATTTTAAAGTGGTAGTTTATCAAATGTGATTCTTGGTTTAATAAATTCAATTTAGTAGATTTTTATCCACCACCATTTCAAAATAATTCGTAGGCTTATATTATTTACCTCCTTATGGAACTTACGCCTACCAACTTCAAATGTAGGCGTGGCTTAGGGCGCTGCAGTCGCGCACATCTAATATTAAACTAAGATTACATTAGTTTTCTTCTTTTCTCTCTCCTTCTCTTTTACCACAGATACAACCAAGTCAGATCTCACTAGTACCAGAAAAGGCCCCTACGGGGCCTAAAGGCCCTGAGCAATCCCAAATGATGATGATGGAACTTACGCCATGCTATGCATTACAATAATCAAGCAGAAATAGTCAAATATTTGCAAAATTTACCTTGTAGTTATTTACCGTTTTTTAATTATTTTGGCGTGTCCGGAGCAGTTGGCATCTCTGGAGACGTCGACTGTAAATAAATTTTCCCAAGTTTCGGAACACAGAGGTGGAGTTCCTATTGTGTAAAATTGTGTACTGTGTACTGGTAAAATTAATTCTTGTTTCGTATTTAATACCACTCTTAAAAATATTTTCTAAAAATATATGAAATATATTTACATTAAAATTTAAGGTTACTCTTTTCAATCGACTTTTTTTCTTTTTTTTAACTTTTCCCCTCATACGGCAGAGATACCAACTGCTCCGGACACACCAAAGTAATTTTTTTAAAAAAACGGTAAATAAGTACAAAGTAAATTTTGCAAATATTTGACTATTTTTGCTTGCTTTTTAAAAGATATATTATGTAACAAGACCAATTAGGTGGTGAATTTTATAAGCTTACGAATTATTTAAAAATAGTGGTGAATAAAATTCTACTAAATTGAATTTATTAAACCAAGAGTTACAATTGATAAACTACCACTTTGAAATATATATTTGAATATATATTTAAAACATATACTTTAAAATATAAGTTGAAATCTCTGCACGCAGTCGTACTTAAACAGAAGCATTTTAATGAATTCGTAAATCTATTATTTTTAGTGTTTGTTGATATTGATTGTATATTACTCGTCTGCGATTTTTCTTAAACTTTATGATGAAAGCTAATATTAGAAAAATTTGGAAGTTATGGCTATAAATTAAGCACTTTGATTAAAATTCTGCCACACATATCCTTCTTCAAAGATGCGGATTTTCTTTTTATTATGTAGGGAAATTCATTTTTTATCTATAAAATATTCGAAAATTTTATGCTTTGATGTTTCATTCTTATTAATTTAGTTAGATTGGTTAAAAAGTATTTCTAATTCACTAATAATCAAATCAAACATATATTCTAAAGAACCTATTAGCCTATTTTCATTATCGCTTAAACTTCTGTGCTAAATACTATTAATTAATCACTCATCGTGGTAAACTTTAAGTTTAACCCGTTTTGTCCCGAATTTATAAATTGAAATGATACAAAAAGTGGTTTTATGGAAAAGTGGTGTAATATATTACGAAATTAATTGGTTTTTCTACTGTTAGGGCATTCAAAAAGTCTTTGATAGATCAAAAAGTCCTTGTTCCTTAGAATTCTACATCTTATCAGAAATAACTAAATCATTGTGGTATCTGAGAATCCTTTAATTGACCGAGATAAATGAAAATACTGAAAAAAGTTTCCCACCACAATGAATGTCTTTGAAAAAAGGAACTGTCCTAAATATATGACGCTGGGCGTTAAATGGTTAAATCATTTTTCTTTTAGAAAATATAAATGTACCCATCATTACACAAGCTTATTTCTTGATACACTTCTTGTATTTATTAATTTGAGAAGGAATTTATACAAAGTATTCGTGTTTTAGTTTTTTTTTATCTATTATTCAAAACGTCTTTTTTATTTAAAATATCACTGAAGTTCAAAACAATTTGCCTACCTTTTACTAATTCTGTAGGATGCAAATTCAACTTGTCCAGATGTTCCATTGTTAACTGTAGCTCTGGCTAGCTGAAAAAATAACCAGTTATCAATAGATATTAATGAAACAAATCGAATTCATTTAAAGACTCTAACTTCGCAACCTCAAACTCTTTAAAATTACTTTATTTAATTTCACAACGTAAGGTAATTTAATTGCTTGATCTAAAAAATTATAACAAAGCACTGTTATATACGCAACATAACAAAACACTGTTATGTATGCAACATAACAAAACACTGTTATATACGCAACATAACAAAACACTGTTATATACGCAAAATAACAAAACACTGTCACTGCAGAAAATGCAATCAGTTAAAGTATTCACTTACCGCCTCGAAAAAAACTTCCGCATGAAGCCTTACCCGAAAATGGAGCAAAAATAGACATTAAAATGATCTCATTTCTAACTTTTTTTAAAATTTATTTATCTTTTTTGGAGTAAAATATCCACGACTTATTAATCGATATAAAATACAGATGCAATGTGTTTAAAACAAAGGCTAATGAATGAATTAAAATTTAACATTAAAGATATGTTTTTTATATGAGAGAGACTAAGTTACCTCCGAAAACATTAGTTTCTAATTTCACCATCAGGTGGCGTTATAATGCAGTAAAAAGATAAATAACTTCTTAAAAATCAAAGTATAACAGAACATTTCAGTAATTTACACAACTGTGTGCTCAATGCGCACATCTTGAAGGTCAATAACCTGCATAAGATAGCGTGTATACATAATTTACATATGGTCTTAGCAGTGCCCACTATAAATAAATTTTCGCACTATTTCTATTTTTTTATACGTAGCTTTCACTTGAGTTTTAAAAATATCATAATTTTGAAAGATTTCATGAATTAATAGGAATTTTATAACTGAAATAAATCAATGTAGTGGATATTTTCCTTCAGGTTTTTTATTATAACCAGCATTGAACAGACTGAATTTCTAATTTCTGAGTTTATGACTATCAAATAGCTTACGAACAGCAGACCCTATTTTAGGGTCTACGTCTACTAATGATCAACTACGTAGCCTTGTAATTGCGAACCCAATTAAGAAGACATGGAAACTCATGAATCAAGAATTCTGATAAACTAGCTTCGTGAAGGAATTTTTGATGAAACTAACCCACATTTGTATAACAATGTGAAAAAAAACCACGAAAACCTCCCATGGTTAGCCCGATAGCAAGAGAATTCTAACCCATGTCTGTCTCTCACTGAGAATATTTTACGGCAGCACTGTGTTCAGTGAAAGCGAGGATCAGAGTTCGTATCTATCAGCCACCGCTAGGATTCGAAGCTGGGTCACCTCACTGGGAGGCGAGAGCTCTATCCCCTGAGTCATCTCGGCTCTCATGGCTGGATTAAGAACTATTTTGTGCCATATACTCACGCAGTAAATTTTGAATAAAATAAACATAAACTAGAGATGCCAACTTGCTCCTGACAGCAAATATATATTATTAAGTGGTAATTAATCAATTGTGATTCTTGGTTTAATAAATTCAATTTAGTAGATTTGTATCCACCACTATTGCAAAATTTACTTTGTAGGTATTTACCGTTTTTTTTATTATTATTATTTTGGCGAATCCGGAGCAGTTGTAATCTCTGCATTATCTGATGCATTAACAAGTAAGGTCTCTAACGGAGGGCTGTTTAGGTCATACTGGCGAGTAGGTTTTGGGATCCTTTATGCATAGATAAAGTAATTAATAAAAAAAATCAGCAGAAAGAGCATACTTTTTTTTAAAAAGTTTATCAGCTCGTTTGTTTTGACTATTTAATGATCATGGAATATCTTTTCTAAGTTTTAAAGTTGCACGGATGTTAAACAATAATTCTATAGTTTGTTTATGTTATTATTTCCAAGTCATACCTGTGGAAGAGCAATCTCTTTGAGAACATTTGATTCTCTATCTTTAAGAACATCATAGTACACGGCAATTTTGGGTTTGAAATTTAATATCTCTACTTTCACAGGCTGCAGTAGAAGATAACTGTTGTTGTTGGTTGTGTAATAGCAATACAGCTCGCTCTCTTCCTCCAGTGTCTAAATGAAATAGAAATTATAAACATTAATTATAAACACTAATTATGTTTCCTTCAATAAACTAATAAAAAGTTTACTTGCTTATAAAAGTTAAACTATCTTAACTTCTGAGAAAAAGTATAATGCGCGTCTAGATCATTTTTGAAACTGACCAGTTCCCACGCCTATTGCTTAGAAATTTTACCAACTTTTAAAAACATCAAAGTTTTTTCGCTTTGAGGAGAAAAATAATTACTCTTAATGCTTAAGTAAATAAGGATTTGTTACAGTTTAGCTAAGACAACAGTACGTTTGATGCGTGTGTATCCCTTGAAAAAAATGTTGAAACTTGTACTAGGTGAACGGTGTATTAGGTTCAGAAACGGTAGCAGAAGCAGAAGTGCAAAATGGTAGCGATAAAAACCGCAAAACAGAACCACAAGCAGTGCCAACATTTGAAGAGGGCTTTGAAACTATAAGAAACGTTCGGCATTCAAGCGAGTGCGCTGAAAATGACCAGCAATCTTTTACAAATGTCAAATATTTGTTATTTATGCTGAGAAGAAACGAGAATATTCAAATCAAAATTTCAAATGAATTAATAATATACTAGTGGGCTGCGCCCCCTGCTCACTAACACTCGCCAACCCAACGCGTCCAACGCAGAACAAGTCCAACGCAGACATTATCTCTCATTGCGCATGCGTTAATAAGGAAAACAAATATTTATTTTGAATTTGTATTGATTCTGTTATTGTCGACTAGTGATTTAGATAACAAATAATGACTTTGTCCAAGAAAAAACACATTATAGCTGAGCTAAATGAAGAGTGCTATGTTTAATGAAGAAGCTATGTTTAATGTCAAAATCAAAATTTTGGCTGATTTCAATGTGCTGTTGGATGTTGTCCGCTATTACTTCTGTGGTTAACGTCACGTTGTTATCCAACTGCAGTTGAGTTGGACGGCAATTGTAGTTCAAGATGAGCGTTCGATGACGTATACTATCAAACTCACAAATGGACCAATCAGAGGTTAGCGCTAATTTCCAGCTGACGCCGACCTGTTCTAAGAAACCAGGCCTTTAATAGCATGAGATTGCCGCAGCTGGTGCTCTCTGGTTATTTCAGTTTCCGTTTTTAAAAGTTGTTAAAAGTTTTATATGTTGAGCCATCTCAGCTAGATTTAGCATGTGACATTTTTAGCGGCAATCATTGGTCGATTTTCTAGCGTTGCCATTCGGGGAGTTGTAATGTGGCTTTTTTTTGTCGCCGTGTAAGAGAAATATATATATATATATAGATAAGATAAATTGGCAGTTCGTCTTACTATTGAATATTTGAAAGACGAAGAAAGAAAAATAGTAACCTAAACAAAACAAAGCAAACGTTGCCACCGGCGGAAAAGAAATACAGCCAAAATTTGGGAGCTACGTAAGAGAATTATATATATTAGATTATAATAATTTTTTTATATAATATTATAATATATTACATAAATTTATTATATTATATATAATTTTAAATGTATTAAATTTTTTTAATACTTTTAGTAAACTTCTTAATTTTCAACTTTTCGCAGAGGAAAAATCACAAACAAATCATACGCAATTTTAAAGAAGCACAAAAACAGAACTTACTTTTAGAGATTCTCCTCTACATAACTGTTCATATGCTTTTGTTATAGCAGGATCCAGCCCTACATTGTTAGCGAATTCTACGGGTATATTGTGACCCGTGTCTCCCTTTTCATTCTTATTCATTTCGTATTCAGCTGCGCGAATTTGATAGAACAGAAGATTTCCCATCGCACGAGGATGCTCGGGTTCTTTAAAAAAAATTATATTTCCATGAGACATAACTAACGAATAAAAATATTTCACTTCGATGTTAATAGTACTTAGCGATATTGTGTCAACATCGCCGATGTTATGTTAACATTTGCACTTTTTGACCCATTACAGCCGCTTGGTAAATAAACTTGTCATGTCTTATTCCCAAACACAGAAAACTGGTAACATAATTATTTCATTCTTAATTGCTATTTTGAAAAAGAAAACATGACTATCTACCGTGATATATATATATTATAAGGCTATAAATTTTGGAATTTTGATTAAAAAACATGACTTCTGTTTTAAAATTGAGCGGCAGTATAAAACATTTAAAATAGCGTCTTAACACCTTCACGCCGGGGTGATCCACCGGTGGGTCACGCTAGATTGTCTCAGCTTGGCAGCGCACCGGAGTAAAAACTGGTAACAATAAATTTCATTTTTTAGTTTTTTTTCCGGGAATAATAAAAATCCATAACTACCAATTGTTTTTAACGGATGCAATTTTTATATTGAATTGCTTCTTCGCAGTGATATATTTCCTTACAGTGAATTGTTATTGTTGAGAATAGATTAACTCCTCCCGAATATTATCGAATATTGAAATAGATCTTCTACCAGAATTTTCACTTTTCCCGGCGTGAACGTGTCAATTTAAATATTAGTGAACTAACTCTCTAATAATTCCTTTTTCACATCATTGCAACATTAACACGTTGAATGCCACGCTAATTTTACATGGCTTGCTCGTCTGGAAACACGGTAAATTTGCAACTTCAAACTAAATTTGCAAACATAGACAGATTTTGCTAGTTTATAAAAGGTTTAGCATGACATATCTGATAAAAGTGGTGAATTATATATACCTACGAATTGCTTAAAAATAGTGATGGATAAAAATTTACTAAATTCAATTTGTTAAACCAAGAATCACAATAATTAAGTAAATTTTGAATAAGTTTTCTGCAATTCCATAAAAGAGTGTAAATTTTATAGTTCTATATCATGTTATACGCTGTCAGGCAGCTGTTTTTCGTGACCTATGTGAAGGGTCAGTGTCAGCAAAGCGGTGGCAGACGCAGCCTAAATGTAATTTCAGTGTCAGCCACCGGTGGCTGACGTGGCGCTCAACGTGTTAAGAAAACCAAAAATTTTGAAATCATTCTGTAGGCATACTTGCCAGCTTATACGCTCTTCAAAGAAGCTGTTATTGTAAGTAAAATGAAATTTGAATTGACGCAGCAAGCAGACTTTTCATTTATACTTTGCCTACTCTTGGAAGAACGTAAACCTGCTAACTTATACTTTTTCTGAGAATGTTTTCCTCAAGTAGTTGTGAAAGACTAACTGAACTGCAATTGTAGATAAAATTAACTTTTTCTCAATTACTATGGCTTGCTCTCATTTTCGTTACTATAACTTGCTCTTAAATGTAATATTGATTTATAATTATTATTATTTAGTGCAAAATCATATTAATTTATATTCAAGAATTAATGAGAAATGTATAAGACTAATTACCACTTTACATACAAAAATGAAATACTGGGGACAATTTAGTTGACAGTTATGGAAGAAAATATCGACAAGCATTAAATCTTCAATAAATACACTTAAATTATTAAACTGTATTCAAATAAATTTTAAGACAAATTTATTAAAATAAGAATTAAGTTTGAATGTATAGGATTAGACAGAGATGCCAACTTGCTCCGGGCAACAAATAGTACATATTTTAAAGTGGTAGTTTATCAATTGTGATTCTTGGTTTAATAAATTCAATTTAGTAGATTTTTATCCACCACTAATTCTAAATAATTCGTAGGCTTATATTATTCCCCACTTTATAGTAAACGCTATACATTTAAAATGTCATGCTATACATTTAGAAAAGCAAGCAAAAATAGTCAAATATTTGCAAAATTTATTTTGTATTTATTAACCGTTTTTTTAATTATTTTGGCGTGTCCGGAGCAGTTGGCATCTCTGATTAGATACAAGATTTATTGCAAAAATAAAATTTAGCATTGATTTCTAGGGTTGTGACAGTTATATTAGAGTGCTTTTTCAATTATAGTTGTAAGAAAAAAGTAATTAACTTCCTTTCCTTATATATTTTGGTAGATATAAATTTTGCTCCAGAAAAAAAGGTCTAAAGCTCTTAAAAGTTTTGCCATGTGAAATCCTCTTAAACATTTGCTGCTAAAACAAAAATTGTTTCTATAGAATTAGTGTAGAAGTGTTTTTATATTTTTGGCAAACCCCTATTGATCCACTCCAGATGAAATCTAGTACCAGTAATAACTAATTGAATCGTTGATTTACAATTAATGACATACTCGTATTTAAGATTAGATATGTATTCAAGCACAAGGTTGACTTAACTGCTTGAATCAATAAGGTTGAATTGCCTATCTAAGGTAATAACTGAAATCAATCACTGGATTGATAAAACTAAGTGTATAGCTAATATTAAAGTTTATATCCTTTGACAGCATCTTTTATCAGACACAAAATTGGCGAAATTAGTTAGCTAAAGAGTTGATCCTTTTCTTTACGTAAACTAATAAAGTTTCCAGGGATGCCAACTGCTCCGCTTTCTGGAATAGTTTTAATAAAGTGGTAGCAAATTATATAGTAATATTAGTTAGAAAAGGACTACTTTTTTATAGAGTAACCAGTAGATTGATGCTTTCTTTATTTATTATAAATTGGGTGCGTACGCCGCACAGAGGCCCCTAACCCAAACATGCCAACTCTTCCGGATTTTCCGGAAGATTTTATTTTCATATTTAAAGTGGTAGTAAATATACACTATTTTTTTCTTTTATGAACTTAATTTTTAAATGATTTTCATCACCACTATTCTTACAAAAATGAAGCAGATATATTAATATGCGTGTTACTGTCATGGTTGTCAACTTAAGTTTTTTCAAATGCAACGTATTTGTTTGCTCAAAATTGAAGTTTTAATTCCATTTTAATACCACTGGGGAAAATGATAATGGAAGGGATTAAAAGTTGGCAGGTATGCTAACCCATACATCATAAAATAATATGCAGTGTATTAAAACATTTTGTGTTATGCTATGTAGATTGATGATCTAACGTTGCTTTTTATATCATACTTAAAATTTCTGATATGTAGTGGTGAAAAAATTACTAAAAAGGGAAAATACTAAACAAAAAGTAACATGAATTTCGCTGCCACTAGAAAATACTATTTTACAAAGTGGAGCAAGTTGGCATCTCTGAGTTTCACACCACTAGTGTTTAGTTTACGCTTTTTTTACAGTACCTTTTACAATTTCAATATTTTTTTTTATAACAAAAATCTATGAAAAAAATAACTCATATTTCTCATTCAATATTTTTACTCACAATTGTCTAAATATACAATACTGAAAGTAAGCAAAAACCGAAAAAATATTGGAACAGTAGAATAAAAGATTTTTGCCATATTTAAATTAAACTTCAAGAAATAATACTAATGAATCACATGGAACCAGATGGTAGCTATACATTTCTAAAATTTTCTATGTCCTATTGAGATGCCTTTTTAAAATAATTCTCAATTTTAAAATTAATTGACCCCGTCTGAGAAATTTACATTTGAAAAAATTAATGTTACTTATTTTATTTTAATTTATTAAGCGAGTAGATCAAAATTAATCTATTTTGCTGATAAGATCTTGTATCAGTGATCATTAATTAACTTATCCTAATTAATTTATTAACATACTTATTAAATTTTAACTTATTGACCCTTTAGTGGGCATCTATTTCTAGTAAAGGAAAATAAAAGACTTTTTGGATTTGAAATTCACATAAGAATAATAATTGACATATGAAAAGAAAAACTCATATAGTTTATAAAAATTTAATTTAAATTTTTTTGTGGTAAGTAAGTTTACCACGACCAATTAGGAACTTATTGAGTTTTATTTTTCTTTATTTATAAAATAAATTTTATAAATGCTACAAACTTCAGAAGGAATTACGCATTTTATAACTTCAATACGTTTTCTTATACTAAAATAAAGCTGCCACTTTTATTCAAACGCACTGTAAGAAAGCTGAAGTTATTAACAATTGGATACCTAAATCAAAATGGTAGAAAAGTTAACATGGACTTTAAAAATTGGTGGTAAGAATATTTGCCACGACTTTAGAAAAGGTTAATTAACTTACAGTAATTAAATTAACATAAGAAAAAGTCCCGTGTGGAGCAGATGAAATTAACGACAGCGCACAATTTAAATGATTTAATATTAGAAAACGGTTTCTCTATTCCTTTATGCGGTAATTTTATACAGTTCAGTCTCATCAATTTTGTATAGCTCTCACTGCACTTTTTGAAGAATACACCTACACAATTGCAATTGGCACTAATTCTACACTAAGAGGAAAAACTCTCATGGTTACTTCAACGCCACTGTAACTTTAATCAAAATAATTTTACTAATATCTTTGTGCTGTGTGAAAAACATTCCGAAGGTGAGTGAAGGTAAATTTCAGTTCATTTACCTAAATAAGAGGTGCTAATGCTAAACGACTGAAAAAAAATTATATATATATATATATANGACAGTAGCAGTGAAATTTGTCACTGTGACAGTAGCAGTGAAATCTGTCACAGTAACAGTAGCAGTGATTTTTGTCACAGTCACAGTAGCAGTGATTTTTGTCACAGTGACAGTAACAGTGACTTGTCACAGTGACTGCTCCAGTCACTGTGACAACTTTTTGGTTGGAACAGGCTGTCACAGTGACTGCTCCAGTCACTGTGACAAGTCACTGTTACGTTACTTTCGACCCATCTCTAATATATATATAAAGGACCAAGTTTGTGTCATACTTACCGACCTGGATTAACTTTTCTGTAAACTCGGCAGCAGCATTGACGTTGTCTAACTGCAAATAAAAAATTCATTCTTAATTAAAAGTTTTTTAAACAATTATGTTAATTCGTTTTGATAACTTCATAAACATATCATTTGTTCAAAAGTCGTTCCAAGCATGCAAAATGTAGTAAAAACTCTTCCAAGCAACAAAAAAATTAAGGTAGTGAAAAACAGGTAGCAAATACCAATTTAAATATAAGACTCGCTGTCGACATATCAGTATCCGGAAGTTAAAGCATTATAGGAGCGATTGTCTAATTATCTGGGCAGGCATCATCTTGGATGACTGCATATTTTTTCAAGTATTTGGTAAAGACACTAAGGCTTTAATGTGGTATATAAAGACAAAATCTCTCCTTTCCTGTTCTAGGGGCAATTGCCCTTGGCTTAACTTTGATGAGCAACAACGGCTGTCATTCGCCACGGAGCTTTTAAAAGTTTATAAAATTAAACATGAAAATATGATAGTTTAATACTCTTTAATTTTATAAAATAATTTTCAAAATGAGGAGCAGTTGAAATCTGTGCTAACGCACGAAAATTAATGGAGGTAGGAAAGAAAACTGTAGCACCTTATGGAGTCATGGAATCCGTACTTACAAAAGTCCCTTAGGAGCTAATAGTTAGAATTTCAGCACATCTGATTTCAAGTTTTCCTCAGTTTACAACCAAAGCTAAATGTTACAAATATCATGCTGGACATTACCTAGCAAGACTTTAAACAGTATATTCTAAATGAAAAGAGACATGCTTTTGCTCTTTGCTGCTAAAAGAATAATAGTTACTAAAAGTTTAAAAAGCAGTTAGCTTTACAATCCTAGAGGTTTGTAACATTTGTTGAATTAGTATTACCAGGCTGGCAATAATGCTCCGAAAAGGTTAATTGTAAACCAGTTTTGTAAAATGGATAGCCTAAGTAAAAGTTCTTCTACAAAGCTCAAATCGTTTATAACCAGGGTGTATATAAATAAAGGAAATGTAAGAGTACTAACAGAAAAATGCGAAAAAGCCATGTATTCATAAATGTCAGCTTTATCGGCAGTTTTTAGCGGTTGAAGATCCTCTTCTAATTCCAGCCGCAGCAATGATTCCTCCATCCACAGGATAGAACGGTTCCAATTTCCCTGTGAATAGGCGTGTTTCCCAAGCTCAAAACAGTCCCCAGCTGTGATAAGCAAAAAGAAAAAATGAACAAATAAATAATAATAATAATTTAAGATGTCAAGATATGTTGTTGGTGATTTACTTATTTTCGGATCAGTTGAAAATGCACTTTTAATAAAATTGTTATAGAGTGAAAACTGTCAAGTTGACCACTATTATCAAGACAAAATTTATCGTATGAAGGGTGAGGCAAAATTTACTCGAAATTTGATTTAAATCGAAAATTAATTATTTAATGTTGTCAACCAAAAAAAGAAAACAGTTAGACGGCTGACAATTTAGGGTTAGCAAAAATGCAGCACTCAAATTTAGAACAACGCGTTTTCAATTGTTGAAAGCCCACTAAACAACACAATTACTGAAAGAAACAGTTCCCTGTTTGTATACTCTCTAATTTCTAGTCGTGATTAGAATCCATAGTTTGCGTGATTTAACTCTATTGGATTTTTTTGTAAGTAGTTTTTTAAGTCATCAAACCCGTGCATTAAAGGCTGCATCGAGCCTTATTTCAAGCCTTTTTTAAGCAAAATGGTAACAGAAAATTTCATTACCTTTGATGCAGATGGAACACCAGTGTTCCTTTTATTAAAAAAATTTCTATATTTTTTTTAATTTCCAGCAAACAATATATTTTGATATTTTTTAATTGTAAAGATTCATTTTCATAATATCAAAAAAGAGGAGAAATGTGATTTCTAATACAGCATTCTTATGCAACTTCAGTGGGTTTTTTTTCATGAAAATGAGACACAAGGTCCCAATTATTTTTCTGTTCCATTTGTTAGTAGATACTCTTATTTACAAGTTAGTATAGGTAGTGTTTTTGAGCGACGATGACGCTTTGAGATAAGCTGAATAAAACAGAGCGGATTTTGCAATTTTTAAAAAGATTGTCTGACTATATCTACTAAAAGCATCGACAAATCAGGAAAGTCCTGGGTCACAGAACTTGTCCTAATTGAAAAATTCCATAGTCCTTAACCGGTTAACGACCAGCTTCATATATATAGGACAGTTCCTTTTTTCAAAGACATTCATTGTGATTGGAAACTTTTTTCAGAATTTTCATTTATCTGTGTGAATTAAAAGATTCTTAGATACCATAATTTATGAAAGATCTCTGACTAGATCTAGAATTAAAAGGAGCAAGTACTTTTTGATCTATCAAAGACTTTTAGAATGCCCTAACAGTGGAAAAACCAATTATTTTCGATAATATATTTTACCACTTTTTCCATAAAACCACTTCTTGTATCATTTCAATATATAATGTCGGGACAAAACGTATCCGATGGAGTTTTGTCCCGTAAATTTTGTACATAATTGTAAATACTTTGTATATATTTTTGCGCATTTATCATCATGCATTTTTCCTTTTCTCTGAGGCTATGTGATTACTGTGCATCTGAGAAGCTCAGGGGTAATACCTCGGGGAGAGGCGAGGCAGTCTGCCACAAAAACCTCTTCTCTCTCTTAAATTTGTTTGCTTAATCTCGCTACTTCATTTTAATTTTCACTCAGTTAATGTTACTGAACCCCAACTTTCACCATTCATTTGTGCTTCGGCGATTTATTATTTATTCTCACTCAGATGAATTAGTTAGAGCACCTGGCGGGACTGATGCTAAGATAACCACCACATATGAGATGAGACAGGACAAAACGGGTTAAAGACATTATTGGACTGCTGTTGCCTTTCCAAGATTTTTAGGGCAGAAAAACGCCCAAAATTAAACTTTTCATTAACTTTGACAGAACATAAATCTGAAAAGCAACAATGCCCCATGGAAAGGAATGCATGGCCATAACTAGGCAGGGATGTACTAATAATATAGCAAAGCATAACTTTTGAGTGATGTTGCCTTCTTTAGATAAAACCCCTTAAAACATACTTATATTTCACTTTTAAAGAAATGATCTTGAACTTAGTATTTTTCTACAGATAAAAAAACTTTAGGAGCTCTAACTTGTACAATATTTCTTTTTCATAACCTCATTAAGACTAGTGAATGGAAAAAAAATTCAATAATCAAGCAATATCTGAAATTCAAAATAATGGCTTTTAAAGAATGTAGTTTTAAATGGCAAAATACAAAATTTAAGCAAAATCAGACTAATATTTTCTACGAAATTAAATTTTGAAGAAGTCGTATTTTTAAAAAATCCAAATTAATTGAAAATGTATGTTTATTCAGAAAAAGTACGTTTTCGTGTCTGATTTCGTAATTTAAAATATTGTCTACACGAATGAATTAGTATATTTGATTTCACCTGCTCAAATTATTAAGAGTGAGTCCTAGGACATGAATATCCAATCATTAATACAATAAGATTAAAAAATATCGAACAGTACAGTAAGTAAAAGATATTTATAGAAATGGAATTGAAATATTCCTTAAAAACAAATGAAAACAAAGACTTCAAAACATGGGCATTTTTATGTTTCTAGACTTGTGTATATTAAATAAATTGAAATAAAATTAGGACTTAATAATAATTATCATCTTAAAACCCACAATCTGCTTAATGCAGAGCAATTTTAGTAATAAAAATCGAAAGCTCAGAGGGTTTAAACTAAAATAATGATAATACAAATTGCCTTACAATTTTTATTCAATTCTCACCTGTAAGATTACTGGATGGAATGGTTCCTTTTATTTGTCCTCCAGCAAGTGTAGCAGCGTCTAGTAGATAGATTTCTTGGAGTCGAATTAAGGCTGCAGCAGCTCCAGACAAATCTTCTTTGTTCGGAAAAGCTATCACTTCGTTAGTTATATTTTGAATCACCTCTAAAATTAATTTAAAAATGTAAGAAACAACGGAAACAATTTTAAAATTTAATGGAAAATAATCCCTTCAAAAATCTCATAAATCAGCAGTCCCGATAACTCTAAACCCAAAATGTTTTAATCAAGAAATCTTACTAGTTAAAACAAATATATCAGCAATATCATAAATGAAAACAAACTTAGTATGACCATGTAAAGGAAAGTGCTAGAAAAGCAAGAACCACTTCAATCTTTTTCCACTCATTAATAGAAGATCAACGTTCAGTCTTTAGAACAAGAGGCTCATGCATATGCTTTATATAAGAGCAGTAATGGCGCATGCATCACCTGCATGGGCAACTGCAACCAAGTGTTTCATTAACATCACAGATACTACACAAACTGAAATTCTAAGACAAATAACTAATGCCCCAAAATTTACAATCAATGAAAATATCCCCGAAGTACTCTGCATCAATAAAGCGAGTGATTTTATTCAAAAACTTAGGGCAAAATTCTATAAGGAGGCCCGCAATTGTGAAGCGGCAAACCTCAAACAGATACTGGTTTTCAAAACAGATACTGGTTTTCTTCACTGGTTTCATGGATTATAACAAGGAATGGAACCCAATAACTTCTTTTATTTGATCGGACGCTACTTTAAGCAGTAAATTCATTTTGTAAGCAATGATTCTAGCTATCCAGCCGAAGTTCGAGTCAGCTGAGGAAGCAGAGTACGTCAGCTTAATCACAACTTCCAGGCTAAAGATTTCATTTTACTTTATTTCATTAATTTTAATTTTTTTAAATTTTAATTTTGACATTATCTCAATCAGCGATTTTTACTTGAATCATATACAGTAGAAAACTGGTGTGCCAAATGGAGAACCAAATTACATCCCGACAAGAGTCAACTCATGATCATCAACTCCAAAATTAAAGCCCACAAAATCTCCAACTTAAGGCTATTCAATGTCACTATCACCCCAACAACACAAGTTAAATACTTAGGTATTATAATATCACAAAACCTTAGTTGGAGTAAGCATATCGACGACATAATAAAAAGAGGCAGAGGAGCATTTTTTGCTCTCTATGCAATACTTAACAAAAACTCTACACTAAGCTTGAACAATAAAAGAACAATTTACCTACAAATTATTAGGCCAATTTTAACATACGCATGCCCAGCCCTTACGACCATGACTGAAAACTTAAAAAAGAAACTCTCAAATTTTGAGGGCAAAATTCTAAGGACCATGCTTGGGGCCCCAAGGGCAATAAGTAATAAATTGTTGAAAAAAGACATGAAAATAGAAGATATTGCTAACTATATGGCCACTCTTAATACGAAATTCTATAACAAAGCCCAGGACTGCACTGATGCAAACTTCAATAAGATATTCGACACAGATATTATCAGTGAAAATTCAAATTACAGCCCACTCGCTGCATTTCTCTCATCAGATTGCATTCTATCTAAGTATTATAACATCCCATGATTCCCAATACACACTACACACGCAAACAACACATCTACACCTGAACTCTGGTAAACCTGGTGAAGGAGCAACCTTGTTCGCAGGGTCCGATCCGGGGGAGCCAGAGATCTGTAAGCCTAAGAATAGTGAGCAACCCGGCACGAGCGGTGACTTGCCGGGACGGCCGGGTCACTATATTAACAATAACACCAATGGTTTTTTGCTACCTAGATTACCCCATGTATTATAATGTAAATAATTTCGTATCTATTCAAGTAATTTGTAAATAATTTTGTATATAGTTTATCTTGACTTTAATATTTTTTGCTTATTAATATTATTCATCCTGTAAATAATTAACTAATTAACTGTGCTAGTGCTTGTATATAGATTTATCTCTTAAATGGAGTCTCTCCAATCCCTTTTTCACTCAATCATATCATTGTACCTTATTCAATTTATGACTACCTAATCTATGCCTATTAAATTTAGATGAATCAGTTAGCGGCGCTTCGCGCCGAATACTGAGCTACTATACATTTCCAACATTCCAACAACATTCCATGAAATTGCTTGAGTCGTATTGCTAATTTTTCTAACCCCCTGACTGGCTCCTCATCTCTTCTATCATCATTACCCTTTTCCACCTTCTTGGGTTGACCCAATCCTTCGCGGAATTACTGCGGCTCATTCTGATTCAAATTACTAATTCAACTACTAACAATACTTATCACTCACAGCTTATTTGTCAATAATTATAAATGAAAAATAGATAATGATTAATAATAATTTTTTTTTATTTTTATCATTGTTTATGTTATTACCTGTCTGTGTTATGTTATCCCCCTATCTTCTTTTCCACAATTTTATTTAACTACTAACATTAAGTTTACTAACCCAAATAATTTTAATATCAATGGCCTTTGATTCAGTTTGTAATCATATAATTTACGAAGGTGGCCTCTTTGGCCAGGTAATCCGGTGCACCAATTATTAGTTTCCGCTTACGATAGCGAATTTCAACTTGATTAAAATATAAATATATTTTTGAGGAAGATAGTTTTTCGGTAATTGTTTTACTACTATTTGGAAACTACTACCACTTTCTATTCTCGAAAAGAGTGAATGTTGGCAGGTATGGAACTAGTATAAAGGGTCTAAGGTTGCGCTTGTCAGTGCTACCTGACTAAACTTTTCAATCGGAATTCGCTTTTCCGGAAAGGTTAATATGTTCATCTTTTTTTTTTTCTTCAGAAAAGTTTATAAGTAAAAATAGCGTTGAATCATATCGAGGGAAGGCGTTATTTTCTAATAAGACAAAGCAGAAAGTAACGCCTATTTTGAATCCCTTGAATTAAACTGTAAGTACATTGTTGTCACCAGTAAATATATAATTTGAATACATTTAATAAATATAATTTATTGTAAGTAGGGAATGTTGTTAGTATAAGCCACACTTAATTTTAAGACCGTTACGCTGCGTGAAGTGTAGCGGTGATATCAGCAGTCAAGTGATAGTGAAGTCGTTTACCATTATAGTGGTCTGGTCCGACTACTTATAAATATCAGTATGGTGGCTTTCATATACAGATAATGAGCTACAAAACAGTGTGGATATTTCTGTACTAATTCTATGTAAATATTTTTAGAAGCAAATGCTTCATAAGATTTTACATCGCAAAATTTAAAAAATCATACTTACTTGAAGCTTTTAGTAATGGTGTTTTTTTTAACTATGCAAAATTTGCATTAACCAAAATGAGAACGAGAATGTAGAGCTTCATTGCATTTTAATAACATTAGAATTCTAAAAGCATTCTTAAAAAATATTGCAGTCTTATAAAATAATTTCAAAAATCTTCCAAAACATTTGCTGCTTAAAGATTGTTAAGATAGAGTTTGTATAGAAGCGTTCGTATTATTTTGTCACCCATCTGCATGAACCACAGTTTAGTTCAACTCATTTAAGATTAAAAGAAAAAAGGTATGTTCTTAAAAGTACTGACAAAAATTTATAAATATTCTATTTATCTTAAAAATGTCCGTTCTAATTTACTACCACTCAAAAATATCTCACAAAAGCTGGAACCTTAATACACATGTTGTCAAAAGCTCAACCAATAATATTCATTCCATTTACACGTTCACGCTAGATTGTCTCATCTGGCGGCGCACCTGAGTAAAAACTGGTAACAAATAAATTTCATTTTTTAGTTTTTTTCCGGGAATAATAAAAATCCATAACTACCAATAGTTTTTAACGGATGCAATTTTTTTTAATGAACTTCTTCTTCGCCATGATAAATTTCCTTAGAGTGAATTGTTATTGTTGAGAATAGATTAACTCCTCACGAATATTACCTAATATTGAAATAGTTCTTCTACCAGTATTTACTCTTTTCCGTCCCGCTTTCAGGCGCAACACCCGGCGTGAACGTGTTAAATTTGTCAGGCTGATCGGCCCGATCTGCAAACAGCAGGAAAAAAATATTGTAAAATATTTAATTTACTGAAATTAATATAATTTAATTAAAAATTGGCATTTTCGATGTTAGATGAACCTAAACGCTGCGTATACTAGTTGAACTGCTACCCGTACTTTAGGATCAAACCCATAAACCTCAGTTTCAAACCAGAAATATGATTTGCAATCCAACCAGCTTCTTCACTCAAGTGTTTTTTAATAAACCCACACATTTCAAAAAAAAAAAGAAATAAAAAATTAGTCCTGTTTTTTTTTTAACTTACTGAAATGAATATTCTAAATGCAGATTCAAAAAAATAAGCAAAAATGTCATTCAAATTCTTTTAATAATTGCTTAAAAATTTCCTTAAATTTAGTATGACTAATCAACCAACTCTTAAATTACAACTGATACAAAATCATAATTTCTTTCTTGGTATCGCGAACTTATTCAAGTAAGATTATACATACATGCCAGCATTCACTCTTTTGGAGAATGGATTTTCCAAGTGGTAGTAAAACAATTACCAAAAAACTATCTTCCTCAAAAATATATTTGCATTTTAACCAGATTGAAATTTGTTGTCGTATGGATTAATATGCTTTTTATATATTTGTTGAAATTATTTATATGTAGTGGTGGTCAAACTCATTTATAAATATTATTAGAATTCAAAAAGTTTAGTGAAATAACATGAGTTTCGCTAGCACTTTAAATATGAAAATAAAATCTTCCGGGATAACCGGAAGAGTTGGCAGCAATGGATTAAATCATGATACCTTTCCATAAACAGAGGCATGTTAACTTAATATTGCATGCAAATTTCCGATTTTAATTATTTTGTTACTAATTTGTGCATTAAAAAAAATTCGTGGTTCTCCTGCAGTTCGAAATTAGTTCAATATTTCATAATTTACCTCTGCTTTCAAGACTTTCAACAATTTGATTGGTTGTTTCCCAGTCAGCTGACAATCGCTTAACCAATAAGTATGCATTAACAGGATTCGACAAAAATGTCTCGACGTCCTTATTGGCTGCATTATAAAGATCTGCATATTGCTGACTTAGCCTAAAGTAAAAACGAGTTATTTTTCAGTATTATTACAATAATTCAATCTAAAAGAAATCTAAATACGGTTTACATTTTTCATGACTGTAATAATAGGGTAGCTTGGGTAAATTGGTAGAATAACAACTGAGATGCCAACTTGCTCCGGACAGTAAATATATATTTTCAAGTGGTAGTTTACCAATTGTGATTCTTGGTTTAATAAATTCAATTTAATAGATTTTTACCCATAACTATTTCTAAAAAATTCGTAGGCTTATAGAATTCACCACTTTATAGTACTTGTGTTATGCTATACCTTTTAAAAGCAAGTTAAATAGTCAAATATTTGCAAAATTTACTTTGTAGTTATTTACCGTTTTTTAAATTATTTTGGCGTATCCGGAGCTGTTGGTATCTCTGTAACAGTACAGATACCTTTTGAATAGAAAAAAATCACTAGCAAAATTATTTTTGTACATCACTTTAATAAATCTTTCTTTGGTAGAAAGTCGACCCGACTTTCTTTTTGTTAATAAATCTAAGAACTTTTTATAAAGTTTTAATATTGAAAAAAAATAATGTGTCAAAGCTGAACCATCGGTATTGCTCACCAAATTGTAGCTGACGTCTTTCTAAAATAAATGTTAATTTCTCCGAAAAACAAAAAGGTTGAAGCTTGAGTAGCCTATACAAGAGTTGATCAAAATAATGTTCCATACTAACTAGTCGTAAACAATTTTTCGTTTAGTAGCAAATGTTTTGGAAGATTTTACATGGCAGCAGTTTGAAAGATCATAATTGAAGCTTTTAGAAATGATGTCATTTTTACCCATGCAAAATTATTATTCACCGAAATAAGCGGTGGAAGTTAAAAGCTTCTTTCATTTTTCAATACCAATGTAATTAAAAAGGATTCTCATGCAAAAATTGTAACCCAATAGAATAATTTCACAATTGTTAGCAACAAAGCTAAAAAGTTTTAACTTTCACTGATCATTTTCATCCCTCCGAATTTTACACGGGTAAAAATGGCATTTCGGAAAGCTTCTAGCATGGTCTTTAACCCTTTCGCGCCGACTGTCACAAATACGTGCCAGCATAAAACCGTATCAACCAGGGTAAAAAGATAAAACTGGTAATCAAAGTAATTCTTTAACAGTTTATTTGTGGGCGGAGTTATAATTGTTTGATTTATTTAATTCACCATTACTTTGTTCAAAATAAAACTATTTAGTTATACTGTGAACTAACATTGATTATATATATGATTAAACTAACAATAATTAAAGTAAAAGCAAAGTAGGTCTGTCAAATTGGAAACGACTACATTTAAGTTACCATTTTTTATTTAATTACGTCCTGATCCTGATTTTGTACGAATGCTTTTCTGAATTACCCGTCCCCAAGGGGTTAAAACTGGGCCAACAGCGTTGCGAAACCTTTCATAACATTTGTTACCAAAAGAAAGATTGTTTACATAGAGTTCATATCGAAGCGTTTCCATTATTTTGAACAACCCTATATGTACACGTATTTTTTTCCGTGCAGGCACTTCACGTTTTTTACATAACTACAATATTTGTGGTCGAGCATTAATGGATTAAGGATTAAGAAGACACATTTGTCAAATTTTAAGGCTTTCGGTGATACACCAGAATAGTGAAAAAGAGAGTAAAATTTATTTATTAGAATGTACTTATTATGTCATAGAAATTCCCTTTTGATTTAATAATTGGTTTACTGGTGGACATTAAATCAAAAGGGAATTTCTATGATATTATAAGTACATTCTAATAAATTGGTTTACTGGTGGACATTTATGAAGCTTCTATCTGAGATAGGCCTGAAGACACTAATAAGCCTCCAATGGATCCCATCGTATGTCGGGGTACATGGCAATGAGAGAGCCGATGTGCTCGCCAAGAATGACTACGATCTTCCTATGGACTGTTTAAACTGTCTTACTCCCACTGAGATCCACTCCCTGGGAAAACATCGTTTGCTTCCAGTGTGGCGCCGTATTCGTATGGCCGCCAGATTTCGTAGTGGCCATCTTAAGTGTTTAAGGTTTCAAAATGGGGAGAAGGCTTTCCAACCTTGTTCCTGCTCCCAACCTGCTAGTCCTGATCACCTTCTTTTTTGCCTTGGCTCTTCTTTCAAGCAGCTGCTGGTTGACCGGGACTTTCTGCAGATATATGGGGAACTAACGCGACAGGGCCTTCTGGACCTGGTCTAGGCTTTCCTTCTCCAGGGGGATGTGTAACAACAACACTGGTGGACATGGATGATTGGGAGCCCTGTAAAAGTTTAAGATACACTGTTCCATTTTTAGAACATGTCTCTTTTTCAAAACTTAAGTAACTTAGGTGAAGTTAAATTTTTCATAATTCGCAATTACAGATGAAAAAGCTGAATATTTCTATAAACCAGAATAAACATATCTTGTGCTGCATAACGCGTTCTAAAATTAAGCAACTGCTATGTTTTTAACCAAATTGTTTGTTAATTGAATAATATATCCATATAATTTCTATGTAAACATACTACTATATTTTTCTAAAAGGCTCTTTTCCCATTACTTCAAAATAAGAGTCCGGTAGGTAAGCAGTGATTTCGGTTCTTTGACTTCTCAAATTGAACTAATCCCAGAACGTAATAGCTGAGAGGATAAAACACTCGATTCCCTATGCAGCACACCATTTTCTATTTCCGGTGACGGTTTAGCCAATCCATACCCTACTTCTAAATTACACTGACCATAGGGGTAACAAAATGCAGCCTCATTGGCAGACGAATTTCTTTTAACGTCGGGCTAACTGTTGGAGGGTTTCATAGTACTTTTTCCTATGTTTTGCAAATATCGGAAAATGCAACCTTAATGTTTTTTTTTAAATGTGTATAGCTATTCTCACTTTTCTAAACACACATTTCGAGCTATATCTAAAATAAAAGATTTTCTGACATTTTATCAAGATGAGAGAATGATAGCGTTAGTTTAAAATAATCGTGCTTATATTCGTATCACGAAATATATGTATTTGAAACAAAATAAAAACAATAAAGTGAAGTTCAATAAAAAGAAGTTTGAATGTATTACCATTTCACCTTTTGTAGTCTTTCTTCTTCAATCCTTAAGTAAGTGTTTAACGAGTTTACAACTTTTGCTTCAGTTTCCAACAGTTTTTCTAATTCTGCTATTGCAGTATAAAACTCGGACAGTCCTACATGAAAGCAACAGGAGAGGATGATTGTGATAAGTTGGGGAAAATGGCACTTCATGGCGTATTATCTGTTGAAAGAATGAAACATTTTACTTGTAAAAGTGGAAGTTATTAGTTTTTAATCCAGAAAAATTAAATCAATTTTAAAAATAATTCGAAAAATAACTCAATTTAGAAACTCTATAACCAAAAGTATTCATATAAATGAATTAATCTGAATGATGTAACTTCTAATACATCTAGAAATTCAGATATATTCAGAATAGAAGGCAAGGAAAAACCTTTTCGTGCTTTAAAATTTAATAAAAATAGCTTTTATCACTGCTTAGTGTGCTGTATAGTAAAATGTATGAGACAGTAAGCACTAAAAATTGGTTACTTATAAAATAATAAGATTCAAAAAAATGTAAGAGGCGGTAAGCACCAAAAATCATTTACTTGTAAAATAATAAGATTTTAAAATAATGTATGAGGCAGTAAGCACAGAAATTATTTACTTGCTTCTGTAACGACAGTAAAAAGTGTGTTGACAGTTTCCTCCTACCGCTGTGCATTACTACGGTTGAAATTCCGTTACAAATGCAAGTGATTTTTGCCACAAGTGAAGCAGATATTGCCTAAATAGACTAATAATTTTGTAACTAGGCAAAGAAACCCGTATGAATTGAATTTTGAAATTACGAAGAAAATTGTTCCCACATAAACCTCCCTATAGGGCCTCAGTCAGTGAACTCTGAAAATATCTAAGTTTCTTTTATGTTTTTTTTCAATTTATTTATTTATTTATTTTTTAGTGTACAGTATACAAAATAAAAGACGGATCACCCTGAATAATGATCAGATCTTCTACTATTCGCAGTTGAAATTTTAAAAATGTCGTGCTTTAAATATTCGATTTCTCGGTGACTATTAAACCGAGTTCCCTCTGATTTTGTATTTTGCCAGTTATGTTTTGTCAGATTATGTAAAATAATATTCTTTGAAATGATGTAAAAAATCGAATGCCTTACAATTCAAATTTTTTTCGACTGTTATTAAGTAAAATAATAGCAAGTAATAAATATTTACTAGAAGTTAATTTTTGCATGGAATTATCTTAAGATTATCGAAATTCATAATTTTGTACAAAAATGTTTTAATCATCTAAAAAGTTTCCGAGTCAATGTTCAATTCCATAACTTTGCAATTTTGAACCCAACCCATAGGACAAGGGAACTGCTGAATCAAACATTGGGGGAAACTAGTCTTCGTGGAGGACTTTTGATGGAACAAACCCACATTTGCATCATATGGTGAGGAAAACAACGAAAGCCTTCGACGTTTATCTCGACAGCAAGGGGACTGAAACCTATTCTGTCTACCACAGGGGATATTTTACGTCAACACTGTGATCTTTTCAACCCAGGTGCAGAATTCATATCGACCAGCCATCACTGGGATTCGAACCTGGGTAAACTCATCAAGAGGCGAGCGCTTTATCCCCTGAGTCAGCTCTTTACTTATTTTGGGAGATGCAAATTTTATAAAAACCATTCATAAAAACTTCAAGCATGATTTTTTAAATTATGCCAACAGTTTTGCCATGCAAAATCTTTCAAAACGTTTGATGTTAAAAAAAAATTGTTTAATAGATTTATTATAGAAGTGTTTCTTTTAGTTTGATCAACCTCTGTATGTTCTTTTGTAAATAAAATATGCCTGCTAAGAGAGTTGTGCCCTGCTGGACTCCTGAACGTTAAAGTAGTATCTTAATGGAAATTATTGCTAACATTAGGGTCATTTTACAACCATCAAAAGACTCTTTACTATTAACATGTCCACATTTGCCCCACTCGTCTATGTGTCCATACGACTCCGTGTAATCATTTTCGTTAATACCATTTCTCGTTAATTGAAAAAGGTAAGTCAAATGTAATTATTAAAATATATAATAAGCATAGTCATTCATAATTACATTTAATTCATTCATTATTACATTCATAGTTACATTCATAGTCATTCATATTCACATAGTCATTTTAACATTCTTCCCTTGTTAAAAACAGTGAATAAAAATAATCTGAAGTTGAAATTAATCTAAAAACTTAGAAGTTACTTCTACACCTTAACTCTTTGACACAGAAATTTTATTAACCTAACTTTTAAGACTTTTTTATTATTTCGCATTCTTTTATTTCAAAATAAGTGAAAAATAATGCTTTTAATCTTTTATAATAATTTATGATGATTAAATGCAGCATAGTACTCCAGTGTTTTTTTTTTTTCTTTTTTTCTGCGTTAAAGGTAAACTATTCTATATACGGCTTAATTCCAAGCAGCAATTTTTCAAATTCGCACTAATTTTCAGTTATTTACATCTAAGCGGCACAGCTATTCATCATTGAAATTTCTTTAATTTACAAAATCGATTATAGATAAATTTCTGAACATGAATAAAAAGAAAAATTTCCCATCTGCTTTTTTTGGATTTTATATTTTAGTACAGATGTAATTTCCATAATAATCAGATTTTTAAGCAACTATTAGACTGATTTTTATAACCATCTGCATCGATGAGACGAAAACCCTTGTTTTTTTTATTTGATTCTCAACAATCTAGTGTTTTGTGTTATAATTGTATATGAAAGCATTGCACAGTTTTGCCAGTCAGCCGAAATTTACAGTGAATTGTTCAGTTATAAATAACAGAAACATTCCATTTGTCTACCTTAGCCCTATATCAACATTAGGCCCCTTCTCCCCTACCTTACAGTTCAAAATGCTTTTGACTATGATTTAAAAAAGTCACATTTGTAATAAATAACATCGAAAATATTTTCCACTTGGAAATATTTTTGGATCGACGATTTTTACTGACGTTAAATTGAACACAAAAGGATTTAATAACATGAAAAACATGCCTATTTATAAAATCAAGATTGTTTACCTGCTAAGCTGTATTGGGACCATTTTGAATAGATTTCTACTTTCCCCAAAGTAAAGAAAATCAAAAATTATAAATCCGTCGAAAAAAAACGTATATTTAATTAGAGAAAGCATTAATTCCCCATGTGATAAATGACATTTTATTTAAAACGCATTTATTTAAAATTAAGAAAGTATAATTACAAACGTCAATGAAATATGTTCAACAGATTAGTTCCTCTTCCTCTCTCTCTCTGTCTATCTATCTATTTCTCAGATTGCTGCTATCCCTTATGTTTCGATGGTCAGAGATCAACATCAATCATAAAACGGTATGTTTAATCAGAGAAATTACGTTTTGTGTGTGATTTAGTAGCCTAAAATATTGGCTGCAATAATTAATTAACATTTTTGAGGTCACCCCCTTGAATCATTAAGATTTAATACTAGAACGTGAAGGTCTGATCATTAGATCAAAAGTTGTTCAGGGAGGTCCTTTTTTACTTATTTGTTAAACATACTTTAAATTCGCATTCACCACATTAAACAAACATAATTTACTCCGCCTTGTTATTGAGTAATTATTATCAGAAGTGAAAACAGCTTTCTTTTGTTTATTGTTAAATCGAAAGATATTATTTAACCAAAAATATATTTTTCTTATTGCATTCGGGGATGCTTCCCGCAATGAGTTAAAGCACGCACCTTCCAATAATTGCTTGCTTCAATAAAGCTTTAACCCTGTAGTATACCAGTCAACTTTCACTCTTTCCGAGAATGGATTTTCAGAGTGGTTGTAAAACAATAAACGAAAGACAATCTGACTCAATAATATATTTATATTTTGATCCCGTTGAAATTCGTTTGCGCAAGAATTATTATGCTTTGATATATTTATTGTAATTATTTATATGTAGTGGTGGTCAAACTCATTTATAATTATCATTATAATTCAAAAAGTTAATTGGAATAACTTGAGTATTGCTACCACTTTAAATATGAAATATTTACCCCGACCTGCCCCAATTTAGGGCATACGGGTAAATGTTTATTAAAATCAAGAAAAACAGAAAAGTACATAAAATACAAAAAGTAACATTACAGAGTAACATTATGTAAACGTTACAGAGTCTGATGGCAACAGCAGTAAAATAATTAAAATGCTCCGAGAGTCCCGCCTTATAGTGCCGATGCCGACGGGGCTTCCCTTATAGTGAGCCAAAGACACAAATGAAAAATTTTACAACACATCGCAGGAAAGTACAGTATGACATACAATGAATCATGTGCAGGCAGTACATAGGATTAAAACGAGTAATAATACGGAGTAAGTTGGATCGCTAAACCAAAGCGATCATTAACATTGTGACAGGATATAAAGGACAGAAAGTATAAACTGTTGATGTATTCAAGAACTTTAAATATGAAAATAAAATCTTGAGGAAAATCCGGAAGAGTTTGCAGGTATGCTGTAGTAGTATGTAAAGCAACATTGAAGTAATATTGTCGGTAAACACTTAATTTACTTTTTGCCTCACTTAATACTGATTTAAATAATTAGCCCATACCTGCCAACTTTCACTTCTTCAGAGAATGGATTTTCAGAGTGGTTGTAAAACAATAAACAAAAAACAATCTGACTCAAAAATATATTTATATTTTGATCCCGTTGAAATTCGCTTGCGCAATCATCATCATCATCGAACTATAATTGGGCGCCTGGGGCCGTTAGCGGCCTTTTTCCCATTCATCTTGTATTTAATCTTTAAGGTGGTTCTTTCTGGTAATTGGAATAAAAGGAAATCAAATATTTTGTATTTTAGTTAAAATTATGTCACTACAAAAATGAGCTGCAATCGGCCTGAGGTTTATGTCTTCTCTTAAGTTTTCGAAAGTAAAAACTTCGTTGAATCCTGCGGTGTCACAATATATGGTCTTTTCAAAAAATCTGAAGTTTTGCTTTGCAATGTGATGATCTAAAAAATCTATGTTGAGGTCGCTATGTATGTTTTTATTGCGGATAAACCATCTTGCTTTTGTTATTTTCCTGAGGATTTTGTTCTGGCATATTTTGAGTTTTTTAAGGAGTAATGTAGAGATGTTGTACCAAGCTGATTCGCTTGCGCAAGGATTATTGTGCTTTCATATATTTGTTGTAATTATT